TATATATATAACTTTTAGTTTGTTGAGTGTTTAAAATTTGAAGAGATTTGATCATTTACCATATTAATAAAGTTTAAAATTTAAGCTCATGTTGGTTGTCCCGTTTTTCTTGATTATTTTAACTTTTAAACTAATCATAGAAATTAATGAAATATATTTTGTTCAAATTTTCAATCCCAGAATTACAAAAATTTTATTAACAAAACTCCTCATGCACGTTTCAAAATGTTTAAGAACACAAAAATCTTCATCCATAAAACCCCAATACACCTTGGTATATCCTATATACTATTACTAACATGTATCGACCGAAATTGTTGGTAGTCAAATAAGTTGGTATCAACTATGGTTTGTACGGTAGTGGTAGAAAATTTTTTATATCATTTATAATTATTACGGTACACGATTTGGAGAAAAAATGACCGATATCATACCAGTTCCACCCCTAATATTTTCTTATGCATAATTAGTTTGTTTGTTAATTTTTTTTGTAAACAACCCAAGAACTTCCAACAAACCTATCTTCCATACCTCTTACTTCCTTAATCTGTCCAGAACCTTGTTAAGTTTAAAACTTGAATGATCGATTAAATTCAAACAAGTAAAAGAATCAAAACATAGAAAGAAGATCAAAGTTGTGCCGAATGATTAATAAGCACAGCCTTAGAAGAGCTCGATGAAGAACTGCTACTGTAAAAGTTGTGTAGGGTTTACAAGATCGAAGCTTTCAAGATACGGTGCGTGCATGCACTTTAAATAGTAAAACCGTAATAATAAATAAACGGGTGAACAGGCCCAACCTGCTATACAAAATGGACTAAACATTAAATATACAATGACGCAACTCATATGACTCAACAATCTACCCCTTTGCGTCAATTGAGGCAGGATACCTTCACGTTTGAGTATGCCTCTGAACTTCAAAAAGCTTCGGTACAATGCTCAGCAATGCCTTGCGAACCTGGATATACCAAAGGATCATATCGGAGAAACACTTCTTATCCCCTTTACGATTCGCTTTGCATTTATCCATAAACTCCAAAATGTATTGTAGGCAAGAAGTGGAGTAAACATGCTTATCAGCAAGATAGAAGCAAAATTTGTGGAATCAGCATTTGTTCGCTCTTTGATTTGAAAAGCCATGCACCATCCTTCCTTTCGTATTTTCCCCAGCTTCATTTTGTCAAAATCTTCTAGAGCTGCCTTCGAGAACATAGTCGGTCTCTTTCGTATAACAGTTGCAATCTCAATGTCCATTTTGCCAACCTCTTGAATATACGAAACTAACATTCGCTTGAGATGAGCAACAATGGTTTCATAATTTTGTTCATCCTTGAGCAACATATTGAGTAGCAAAATCCAATCATACGGGTTCAGGCAAGGTAGATCAGCAAGTGTAAACTCAAATAACTGACCCGTAGAACCTCTAGCAACCTTAAAACAAGAATTTGGGAAGCTATCGGTTTCAATTGGACCTAAAACCTTCATAATTGTTAGCTTTTTCGCACTCCAGGTTTCATACTGAGGCTTCATGTGCTTTAAGTAGAAGGAGAAGAGCATATGATAAGAACCGTTGTCAGTCAGAGGAACGTTCGTAAATTTGATGAAGCTACGAAACTTGAAGGCTTTTGGTGTTATTGGAAGATCAAGTTGAGAATCTTGTGTGTTCTACAAGTCGAAAGATGCAACAGGCTCTAACCAATATTGGCTTGGATTGTCTATAGCCTCATTCATAATTCGCTCCAAAGTCCACAATGGAAATAAAAACTTCCTACTTTCTAAAGTGACTTGAGCTTCTCGTTCAACTTTCTCTTTCTCTTCTTCTTCTTTGACAATACGATTGTGTTCATCAATCTGAGCTTCACGAGCCTTCATTCATTTCAGCTCATGCTCATTAGGCTCATCCTCTTCACTGTCATCAATGATCTTTTCTTTACCTGTAGAACTCGAAGCTACATTAACCTTCGGTTCGTCTTCTGACTTTGGCTTTATAGTTGTATCGGTTGGTTTCAGGGTTTCTTTCGTAGATTGCTTCACAGTGTCTCCCCTTGTTTCAGAAGTGTGTCAGACTCCAAAATACCCTTAATCCTGTTGAGCATCGCAAACACATGCCTAATTTTTTCAGCCGGATACTTCCTGACAGTGATCGTGATTAGAGAATCACGAGTCTCAATGATGTCTGAGAGTAAGGCGTTCACATCGGTAACACAACTTGTCACACCCCAAACCGGAACGACAGAAACGTTCGGGGATGGAGGACGTCATGTTAAGTATCACAACACATGCATCATAGTAATCATAATAACAACAACCATCATATTAATAATATAAAGTTTACATTGTGTTGAAAACATTGCATGATTTACATTAAAACTATAACATAAGATAAGACGTAAAGCTCCGT